CGAGCGACTCTCTGCCTTACCCTTCCATGTAATCTATCTTGCTTGTGTTTACACGAGTGTGAGTGTGTGCGGCTGTTTGTGCACGAATGTTCGTGTTTGTCTGCTGCTGTTTTTTCCTCTCTTCTTCTTTATGTTGCCTCTGCTGGTGCTGTTGTTGCTTTTGGCTTCATCGTCAGGTGCGTTGACAAGTGGAAATGCTTGCCCGTGCATTGCTCTCATTGCAGCGACAAATATTTATACAGCACCCCCCAACAGCCCCCCTCCTGAATACCCCATTATGTCTCGGTGGCTCAGCAACAACATTCCTTGTGTCTTGCCCCCGTTTTTACCTCTCCATCCCCATCTCTTTCACTCTTTTGTTGTGTGTCTGTCTCTGTCTTTTCACCTCTCTGTCTCTCCATGTCTTTCGCTTGTTTGTCTTTACATGTCTCCGTCTCCGTCGCCTGTCTGTCTGTCTATCTGTCGTTCTGTCTCTTGTTTATTGTTTGCCTCGATTAATCAGCGCATTTAATATGCGGCGACGCACTGCACCAGAGAGAGCTGCCGGATCCCGGACTCCAGACCCCAGACCTCGAGACACCAGATACACCGGACCCCGAACCCCGGACTTCAGGTTGAATCGACTACGAACCCAACTAACCTGTTGATTTTGTATGGTTTGCTCTCGAACACTCTACCCCTGTCTCTTCGACCAGCCATTTGTTCGACACTCTTCTCCTCCAGGTAATCCTCTCTCTCTCTCTCTCTCCAGCTACTCTTTTTTCCATTCGCTCACCCTTCAGCTAACTGTACCCCTCTCTCCCTCTCTTCTTCCTCTGTCATCTATTCACTTATTGTAATTTGCTTTCTACCTTGTTTTTTTCATTTAGCGCCTTTCCGCTTCCGTTTTAAAAAAATAACAAAAAAAAGTGTTTGGTATTTTGTCTCTCTTTTGAACAGAAAACATAATTTGTTGTTGTTGCATTTGTTCCCACTTCCGTTGTTTCGTTCCATGGGGTTTAAACTGCATTTTTTTTTAGTTTGTGGCAACAAAAAAGAAGAAGGAAAGAAAAGAGCTCAAAATTTGCATTTTTGGCTACGGAAATATATTGCGATAGGGGGGGAACATAAAAAGTGGGAGCTTTGGTTTACCATGAATGGGATGTGTAGTATCGGAGGGAGGGTACCACGATCTATTAAAGAGAGTTCTTTGAGTTCTATAAACTTTCTCTCAAACTCGTTAGTTAAATACATATCCAGAGCTAAACTTTTTTCTCTTTAAAAAAAAACAAAAATAAATTCTACCATAACTAAAACTTATGTAAACTATCCCTAACCATCATTCGCACACCACAATATCATCATCTCTGTTCTCTGTTTCGTAATCGAAAAGTGAGTAATGACCACAACACACGTGGCACACACAGCCACAGTTAATCCACAGAGAAGAGGGGGCTAGGGCCATGTGTGAACTGGGATTAGGCTTTAATTGCCTTCTATTCATGGCCAGTATTTGATATAGCAATTGTGCAATATGATTACTGCAATTACTAATCATACAGCAAACAATCTGTGAACACAAATCCATTGTATGTGACTGTGTGCCTGGAAACCAAAAGCGAAACCCCAAATACACCAAAACCCCCAGGTCCACGCCCTGTGCACATTTATCAGCTCTTTTTCCATATAAATCCCCACAATTCCAGAATGTTTTGAATTTGTTTTGCGTTCGACCATTAACCGATAACACTGAGAGGGTTTGAGCGATAAAAGCGCGATAACTGGGTGAAGAAAAACCACATGTGCCACACAGACCCACGTATTCCCAAGTGTTCGCCGAAAGAAGACCCCGAAGGGGTGTTCGCATTTCTGACAATGCCATGGAGAGTCATAAAGTGATCGTCGCATAATTGTAGGGGTTTAATTTCTTATAATTCTTTTGAATAACCTTGGAGAAAGTTCTCGAGAAACTTATACAAAGAATGTTCTTGGAAAACTCAGGAAGTTCTTAGTTCTCTTTCAATGAAGGGTAGAGTAGAGCTCTAGAGTTGTGTATTTTGCTCAGATATACCCCTAAGAACTCCTTGGAATAAATATTTACCCAAGTAGATCGTAATGCTCATAGACCCCTCCCTGAGATAACAGCTCCTGCTGATTGACTACATTCAAATTAATAAAAATTTCTGTGAAATGTGTGATTCAATACCAGAAACCCGCTCAGAGGTTGAGGGGGGCAGTATTGATGCACTTTTCAATTTACAGTTGGTTGAATCTTTTATGCAACAAACGTAGGAGTGAAGAGGGGCAAGGGTAGGCACAAATGGTAACCACAGGCAAAAGCAGCAGCAGCAGTAGATTTGAATTCGAACTCAAATTCAGATTCATTTTGTTAGCTAAAAGCTGCGTCACGTTGCAGCTATTGTTTGACGTAGCAGCACCGCTGGCTCAGTGCTGCCTCTGTGGTTGTGGCGACTGTGGGCTGAGATTTGCGTAAACGAAATTGGCTTTTCTATTGTGCCCCCGTGCCACATGCCCCATTGCAGTGTTGTGTAACGTGTGCAGCGTAACAGCAGCGGGTCGGAACGTGGTGGGCCAAGAAGAGAGAATAATGATGTCAAACTTTTGTGTGTTTGTGCTTTGTGTGTGTGTGTGTGTGTGTGTGGGGCATTCATATAACTTGTTGCTGCAGGCAGGGACAAGGGGAACGGGCCAGTAGTGGCAGGTAGAAGGTGGAGGCTGCTTTTGATGCTGCTGCCTGCTGCAGCTGCCACGTGATGCGTTGTGCAAGAAGTCCTTGCCACGAGGATGCTGTGTGTTGTGCTGCCAATTGGTGGGATGACCTTGCGCCAGTCCCCCTCTAACTCTCTCCCGCTCGTTTTCGAACTCTGTGTGACCTTCGCCCCGAACTCTGGTTTGACCTTCGCGATGACTTTGCCTTCAGCAGGTATGACCTCCGCATTCAATCGGTACAATCGCCATTCCCCCACTCGCCTTTCAATTTCAGTTGCTGCTTCAGTTTCGATTTTCCCATTGGCCTGCCTGGAGGCCCCCTCCACACATTTTGCATAATTTATTGCATTTAGTTCTTCATTTCATTTACTGTCCTCACATCCTGCCCCCGCTGCCTTGGTCCTTGTGCCATAAATTTCCACTACACTCATCAAATGTCGTCGTAGTCCAGCGACTGCTCCTCCTGCGAGTCTTGCTGCCGCGACTCCTCTTGCTCCTATTACTGCCTTTACCGTCGCATCGCGTGTGTCCTTAATTTTAGTTTTGATTGCGTTTCCCTCCTTCTATACTATACCACGACCTGCGTCCAGTTCTGGGTTTTTCCCCGCAATAAAAAAGGACTCCTACGCGGCTCACACGACCCACCCACAGCCATTCAATCCAATACAGTTGGAGTCCGTTGTTCTCTTTATAGTATATATAGCCAGTAATTGGCCGACATCGGTGCGTGGGTTTTACTCTACGGGAGTGAACGGGGTACCCACTGGGGCTCTCCTTTTCATATAAGAATTTCCATGGGTTTCCTATGGATTTCCCACAGTTCCTATATGTAGTTCTCCTTTTCTCCTTTAATTCTCCTGCTCTTGTAGTTCTCCGATTGCCCTATAAATTTCTTCTTTACAACGCAGAATGTGCCTCCTTTTACCAGTTCTCCTACTTTATTCCAACCACAAACCACAACCCATTGCTGTGTGGAGCTATTTTTATGCCTTTCGCCTTCGTATCAAATGTCCTTTGACGCAAATTAATTAAGTTATGCGAATCCTGTAAGTCGGTCAAGCAAAAGGATGAATAGAGTCAGGCAGCAAGGGCAGGGGAAGTGCGGTTTTGCCAGGCATTCAGCAGGAGGAGTCATGAATGGGGGCTGCTACTTAACTGATTCTAAATTTAGGCATTTCCGTCACCACATGAATGGATGAATGCCAATCGAAATGAATGAATAATTTAATGAGTGAATGCCTGTTTGTGCCCTGATGAATAGTTGCTAGAAATATGACAAAAATATCCCTAATGAATAAGCGTTATGGGAACCTTTTAATTGCTCCACAAAAGAATGAGTTTTACATGGACTAATGACACTTTTCCGGGAAATGAAAAGATTTCATAAATGTACGACCTAAAATATCTTTTGGAGATTCCCTTAACCTTTTAACCAGTCAACAAATTTGTTTTCATTCTGTCCTCACGTCTTTCCTGAAGGTATTTCCTTACCCTTGATATTTTTTGTCTGTCAGAAAGACTAAATTTTTTTCCCAACTCGTAACACCCTTAGACTCTTCCTTCAACACACATTGTACCACCTTTGAGAATTCACTTCAACGCTACACTACTTCAAACAGTAGTCAAAAACCCTTACAAAAAGTAGAATGTATCGCTGCTTACAGTTTCCGGTGTGTGAACAGAAATATACAAATGGCCATTGGACAGCTCCTGCTATCATTGGGTACATCTACGTCAATATTAAGGGTAAATATACAGGAGATCCATAGCTCCACGAATGCACCTTTCTTCCTTATTGCCAATGAACCATCAACGACGCCAAAAAGATGGCCAAAAGTGCGAGTCGCCCCCGTAGTGGTATGACAATCATCCCATAAAATGTTGCCTTGCCTTCCTCTTTCTTTGTTGGGGGGCGGTTGCCGTTGACAAGTCGCGAATGTTTTTCGCTGAGTGCGAGTGCATTAAATATATTACATTCACACATATTGTACCTATATAATATTCTATATATGACTATGTCTGGGGGGCAGCAATGAGACACGGGGAATGTGGCTTTCAGTTGCTTTGAGGCAATGCAGTTGTGAGGTACGGAAATTGCCTGAGAAACCAGGAGAATTTCCACAATCACAAAGGAAACACAAAGGAAATAGAAACAGATAGAAAGAAATACTAGAATGATTTCCCTGGTGTTTAGAAGACTCTTGAGAAAAGGTTGAATTATACATTTCAAACGCTGATAAAGTCTAGAGAATTCCTTACTAATTTCTATATATTTCCCTGTCACATTTCAGATTGCGATTGCGGCTGCGTGGATTCGTACAACATCAGCCACGGCCCGACAGCAGTGCAACTGCAGCAGCAGCAGGAAGGAGGAGGCAGCCATCAGCAACAGCAGCAGCAGGTGCCACACCACAGCAACAGCCTCAAGACGGCGCACACAAAGGTTGCCACATCGGGGGGCCATGCCAATACGCAGCCCCCCAGCAAAAGGTCGAGCAGTGGTGCCGATGGCGACTATCAATTGGTGCAGCATGAGGTGTTGTATTCGCTGTCAGCGGAATATGAGGTGGGTACACAACCAGCAGACACTTCCCTAATAGTTCTATAATCATTTTTGTAACCCCTTTTTAGGTCCTTGAGTTCTTGGGACGTGGCACCTTTGGTCAGGTCGTCAAATGCTGGAAGCGGGGCACCTCTGAAATCGTTGCCATCAAGATACTGAAGAATCATCCATCGTATGCACGTCAGGGTCAGATTGAGGTCTCCATTCTGTCGCGCTTGAGCCAGGAGAATGCCGACGAGTTCAATTTTGTGCGTGCCTTTGAGTGCTTTCAGCACAAGAATCACACGTGTCTGGTGTTTGAGATGCTCGAGCAGAATCTCTACGATTTCCTCAAGCAAAACAAGTTCTCGCCGCTGCCTTTGAAGTACATCAGACCCATTTTGGAGCAGGTAAATTATACCCATAGAGGAGCCATACACGGAGAGAGCTTTAATCAATGTTCCCCTTGCCCTTTGCAGGTACTGACGGCCCTGTTGAAGCTGAAGCAATTGGGTTTGATTCATGCCGATCTGAAGCCGGAGAACATCATGCTCGTCGATCCCGTGCGTCAGCCATATCGCGTCAAGGTGATAGACTTTGGCAGTGCCTCGCATGTGAGCAAAACTGTGTGCAACACGTATCTGCAGTCGCGCTACTATCGTGCACCAGAGATCATACTGGGGCTGCCCTTCTGCGAGGCCATTGACATGTGGTCGCTGGGCTGTGTGGTGGCGGAGCTCTTCCTGGGCTGGCCCCTGTACCCCGGCAGTTCAGAGTTCGATCAGATCAGGTACATCAGCCAGACGCAGGGTCTGCCCACGGAGCACATGCTGAACAGCGCCTCGAAGACATCAAAGTTCTTCTATCGCGATGTGGACTCGACGTATCCGTTCTGGCGCCTCAAGACCACCGAGGAGCATGAGGCCGAGACCAATACGAAGAGCAAGGAGGCCAGGAAGTACATTTTCAATTGCCTGGATGACATTGGGCAGGTGAATGTGCCCACGGATCTGGAGGGTGGACAGCTGTTGGCCGAGAAAACCGATCGAAGGGAATTTATAGATTTACTCAAGCGTATGCTGACCATCGACCAGGAGCGACGTCTCACACCCGCTGAGGCATTGAATCATTCATTTACACGGCTCACACATCTCGTGGATTATGTTTATTGCAATAATGTGAAGGCATCGGTGCAGATGATGGAAGTGTGTCGTCGTGGGGATTTCCATACGTAAGAAACGAGCTTTAAAAACTCTTTAATTTATTGATAAATTGATTCCCTTTTTAGCGTACAACCTGCTTCGACTTTGGTCACCAATTTCGTGCCCAGCAGCACTGAGAATATGACATTTACGATCAACAATCAGTTGACCAGTCAAGTGCAGCGTCTCGTACGCGATGGCCGTCCCCTGGCCTACGAGGGTCTCTACCAGATCTACAATGGCAGGAGTGTGGCGCGGCAGTATCCTCAAGCGCGCACTGACAGCTTCCAGCATCAGTTGGTGTCGAATATTCTGTGTCCGCCGTCGTACCAGGCAATGGCCAGTCCCACGAAGCATGTTGTGGTGGGCAGTGCCACCATGCAGCCGCCGTTGCAAGTGCCGCCGCAGCAGTATGTGAATGTGCCAGTGCCCGTGTCGATGGTGGAGCCCTCATCGGGTCAGCGGATGCTGCTGACGAATCGCGTGCAGGCGAGTGGTGTGGCCTGGCCGCAGACGGGCAGGCAGATGGCATTGGTGCCGTCCTGGCCGCAGCAGGCGCCGGCGCATTCGCTGATTGTGGACTCGACGCCGCTGTTCAATGTGGAGGAGATTTATCCCAAGCATCATCTCAATTTGCCACGCAATGATCTCAAAAAGGAATCCCCGGCTCATCATTTAGCGTGAGTATTCCCGTCCCTAGTTGTGCCCAAGGGAAACCATTTTAATGTTTCTCTGTCTCTTGCAGCAAGGGCAACTCTTATCGCGTGCCGCGTCATGAGAAGAAGGAACACCAGCAGCTGTCGCCAGTGAAGAAGCGCGTGAAGGAGAGCTCACCGCCGCATCAGCAGCGCTATCAGCGAACGGCTCACGTGTCGCCGCAGTACCACACGCATCACAATTGCAATTATGGCAGCAACTATGGCAGTGGCGCAGGTGGATCAGTTGTGGCCTCATCCGGCGGAGGAGGAGGCTCTGCGAGCAGTGAGTGATTGCTGCTGGATTGAGGGACGTGTGAGTAACCTTTGTGCTCTTTTTTGTTGCAGATATTCCCAGCAGTTCGGGTGGATCGCATCATCATCATGGCGCACCGGTGGCGCATGTGCCGCAGCCGTATAGCGCCTCATCGGGCGGTCATCATATTGTGAGCAATTGTCAGTCGAATGGTGGCTACCAGCAGCCGCCGTCGCATGCGCCTCATCCGCCGCAGCAGCAGCACCAACCGCAGCAGCAACAGCATCCGCAGCAGCAGCAGCAGTCGCATGTGAAGCAACAGCCGACGATCACCATTCATGATACGCCCTCACCGACGGCAGTGATTACCATTTCGGATAGCGAGGATGAGGGTGGAGATAATGGTGCAACGACAGCAGCGCCGGTGAAGCAGCGAGCGCATGCGCAGTCCCAGACGAGCAGCAGTCTGATGCAGCAGCAGCAGCAGCAATCGTCTGTGCCACTGCATTGCCAGAGGAGCAGCAACCAGAGCAACGTG